GCACGAGTCTGCTATTAATGGTCTAAATAAACAAATCGACTACCTACCAAAGATGTTATTTCTCCAAGAAGTTTGAAACGGTGTTGCAATTTTATACGTTACGTTATGTATAGTGATCTGTGACGTCTTATTTTGCATCGGGAAGTGTCAATTTTAACGATCATGTCTTGAAGAAATTACTAAGTTMAGCATGTGGATGTTAACGGTACGTTATTCGAACGCGTAGAATATTTAAATAGTGATTTACATGGAGCTATGATCCTTTAGTGCAACTACATATAGTCACAGTCTCGGAATAATTAAATAATTACAGAGATTTTTTTCTTATTGACTTTGCATGACTTCCGCCTATGTCGAAAGTAACATTAAGAGATTCAACGACCATTTCAAATTTCAATTCCTATAATCATGACCGACTGGCTACCAGTGCGATTGCATTGCTAATTAGGCTAATGAGCATCAGGTCGAAAGAGTGGACAATTAAGCCAACTTCAATTCTGGAATTTATAAATATTACCCAAAACAAAGAAAATGTCGGCCTCCAAAAAAATCTTTCTGCATCATTAACAGAATAGTTAGGTAAGTAAATTTCTACATCATAAATTTCAGTTTAATGGAAATCTGTCAAGAAGTGAATTACCACTGATTATCATACAGACAGCAGGTTATGGTCAGTTTCAGTGAGAAAAAATGAAAAACAACAAGGCTTCGCCACCACGCTCACTGAATCATATCAAATCAATATTTGGATATTGTCATTAAAACCATTTTCTCTCAGATAAAAAAATGTATGTACGCAAACTCGTTCTAGTGAATAAATAAAAGAGGTGTCATTGATAATTTTCGCGGCAATTACATCCTTTTGATTTTATCCTGCACGTCTCGCTAGAAGAATACGTTTTGACCTTATCGGGGATCTACTTTGATCATTGTCCACTTTATTTTGTACATACAACAATTAACAGTTACATTTGCGTAACTGTTGGGAAGACTAAATCTCGTTGTTTACATCATGTATGAAGTTCATTATGCGAGTTGAATGCACCATGAACCACATCATGCTTTACAAGATCTTTTCATCGTGCATGTTCTGTTTATCTCGTGTTTAATTAACAGAGACCGCAGCCTCAAGGTGGATTTTTACAAATTACACATTGGACGATCGATCAAACACACAGTAGATATAATGCGAAAAGTATCACTGACTCAACAATATAATTCCACATTTTGTGTGATTATCGTATGCTTTATAGAGCGGCAAAATATTTTTCCAGATAGCAATCGTATGACGAATTTATTACCATAAAGCGGCAACAACTATTCCAGAGTACTAGAATTTTGCAATTTTATCGCTTTATCTCAAAAGGAAGAAGGAATGTCCTCCAAAGTGGTTTATTTATTTCATCTTAAAGTCAACACTTAACTTTCGATCGCTTTATGTGTCAATTCTTCTACGCAACTAATCAGAAATTTTGAAAAAATTACAARTTTCCTTCCGGTCCGGATGTAGGAATGGCACTGTCTGGTTTATAAACCATAAAGCGTAAATTTTCCGCATCACGAAGCCGCTTCAACATGTAAAGCCCTTTAAACATTTCCATCTTAAAAATAAATTAGAATAATGTTAGATTTCTAAACCCATTCGTTTCGGTCATTGTTGTAGTGCGAGCCTATCATAAGATAGACGAATGACAATAGCTTTCTAAGCTTTCCCTCAATTTAATTTTGCTCTTAAAACGTTGCAAAAATACAAATCCCAATGWTACTTTAAAGTGGAGTACTGGGACAAGTATTATGTAGGTGCGATACGCATCGTTCATTTTATTTATAGTTAACTGTGAGCACATATTATAATAATAAAACGCTTTGTTAACGGAAATGTGACGCATTTTGAATTTTTTGAACCCGATTTCGTAAATTTTGCAACATCCTTTAATATACCTACTTCCGGCCTTAATTAAAYCTGAACATCAATGATTTTTCAGTACAAGCACAAAGGTTAATTGCACTGCAAATGTTATGAGAGAAATGTTTTTGTGGCTAGTCAACGCTTCCATCTGATGCATACATGCAAGTAATGTAAGTCGTGCATAAAGGACAAGACACACTTCTTATTTTAAATTAATAGCCACTCAAATGCTAAATACACACTGCCTCGAGTTAGTCGTAAGCAAAAGAATGGAATGTGATATAAAAATAAAAAAACTTAATCTTTCAAAGATTATCTTATTTATTATCAATTATCATAATATAATTATGTATAAAAAGTAAACGCCAAATTTATGTTTACGTAGGTGAAATTAAGTACTGCTACCTGAACTAAAACCTTTAATGAGTTCTAAATGGGAACGTAATTAAGCTGACTTCCTTTCGGCAATACTGCAATCAAATTTATTGGCTTAGTTCCGTGAAAAGTCAAGAAAGTTTAAAATGTGCATTTTTATAAAAGCTGGAATAAATGCTAGGGAAAATTCAACTAAAATTTTATCTTGTAACTTACTCGGTTATAGAAGACAAAGCATATTTGTTTATTTCCATAAAAAAAAGTTTTAAAAAATAATTCACTGTAAATCGTAATGATTGTTTTTATTTATTTGTGATATAAAATAGTGATACACTGCCAAAAGACCAGCAACATCTTCGAAGTTGAAAAAACACACTTCCCATGATTCAGATAACCTCAAATTATGACTAAGTCAGAATCTAAAATTTTGACTCTTCGTAAGTSGAGTATCTAGAGAAGTACGTAACATAAAACTGCCGGTGGTTACTAAGCAGATCAAAGTCTATTGCCACGTCGAGTTTGGTCAAGAGCGGGTGTGCTGACCGTGTACATTATAGTTTTTTCTGATTTTTGTCAGAAAGAAAATCAAAAATGCAAGTGCAACAAAATGTCTTATAAAACGAGTGTATACAGTATTTTTTTCTACTTCGGTCTGTTAGTTTTATGCAAATTTCTGTTTAAACACAATTTCATTTCACATGAAAGTTTTTTTTTTGTGTAGGCATCTAATACCCTTCATTAAAACACTGTTTCTGATATTTTAATAGTCATTAAAGACGCAATGTAACATTATTATTTTGTCAAACTGATAAATACCAAATAAAATTTCATGAATTACGTGTGTAATTTGACGTAATTTTATTGAAGAATAATATGTATATATTGTATATGTGTATAAGTGTCTGTTACGGTTTAAATAGCTTTACTTAATTGTTATATGCATATGCGTTTTTTCAAGAAACTTATGTTAAATTACAAAAATAATTTTAAAAAATACTTACCTTTTAGATAAATTTAATTGGGTGTGCTAGAATCTCACGTTGAATATTTTAACAGGAGGAGCACTTGGCCACAAAAAGTGTCTCTGCTTCGGAACTTCAATGTTAAGAATTGTATAATTCGTCCCTAAAACAACAAATCCAATTATTTTTACATAATAGAGTTTGAGTAAAATACCAAGTAGTGATAAAAATTCTGTCAGTGTTTCAGGATTTCTCTCCGTACAAGACAAAATAAATTCACTTGCACCACAATATTTAAACAAACAGTTCACTGCATTTACTAAAGGTTCGAAGATAATTTTATCATACACTACATCAGCTGCAATGATGCTATCAATGTGTCCTAAACTTTGACACAAGTCTTTATTAATATCCTCCCAAGGTAAATTAAATACACGCACTAAACAATTATTTATACAATCCTCAAGCAAGCACTGTTCATTTAAGTTATAGTTTTTGTCTGCATGGCTGCTGTTTAAAATAACGTTATCACAYAGTGTGGTTAAAACTGAAGTATGGCAATCTGTTAAATAAACAGTTTTAGCTTTGGTGTATGTTGAAAGAACAACTCCTGTTAGACCGACTCCTGATCCTAATTCTAATACCACTTTTGAATCAAAATAAGAAGAATCAGCAATGATCCATTCAGATAAAGCTAATGATGCCTGTAAAATATATCTTAGAGACATATGTAAGTCTGATTATAATGTAATACCTGCCAAGTTCTTAATCCTGTTGTACCGTCAGATATTAAATTAACATTTTCTTTCAAAATTATATCTTTTTTGCCATTTTCAATGTGGTAATGTTTAAAATAAATGTTTGAGCAGGGAAGCGCCACCAATCGACCATACTCTTCGTAAAGAATATCATGAATTACAGAATCCTGTTTCACTAGGTATTGTAATATATGCTTTAAAAAGGCTTTTTGGTATTCTAAATTGGTCGGATATTTTAAAATTTGATCCAATCGAACCGTGTTTTCAATTAATTCTTCTTGAAAGTTTATATTTAAGTTATCAAAGTACTGAAAATTGAATTTTACGGTAGTCGTACATTTAGGTTAGAATTAAATACATACCGACAAGTTGATTTCTTTTATAGGAACGTTACACAAAAACTGTTTTTTAATTTGTTGCAGTTTTTCTAGATAATCAACATCTTGCATTGCGTTTAAGCTACAAAAACTGCATTAAATAACCGAAATTTTTGACTAACCACTGACAACTGACAGCTTGCTGATGTTAAGTAAAATCAACCAAGGTCTTCTTAATATTGACTCTWTAAATAAAAAAAWTTTTTGATAAAAGAATTAAATAAAACAAAAAGTAAATACCTATTAACTCTGTCGGTTATTATGAGCTAATAATGAGAGTAGTAGTCTTGTTTGCATGGTGTACTATTAGTTGRAAACATTTTCAACATTTTAAAATAATAATAATTAAATTGTGCTTGTAATATAAATTGTTTGTTCCTTTTATAAACACACTTTTTTTAGGCTTTATAGACTATTTTGTACAAATTAGTGTAAGTAAACAGGTTTTTCTTTAAAAGCGCCATCTATTTAATATCTATATAAAAACAATTATTTCAGCTAAGATCTTAACCAACACTGTAGTATACTTTTCATTCTGGTGCTAAGACCTTATAAAAAGTTTCATTTAGAATTAAGAATCTTGTTTTTTGAATGCAAAAAACTTGGATTTGCTCACATACTTTTTTATTCTTTTAATTCGAGATCATTTTTGTTTATTGGGTGACATCTAGAAAACAATGATAGAGTTATAAAAGTCTAAACCAAGGTCCCGTCAATACGTAAATATTATATTCTAAATATTTCAGTCACAGGTTGTTCCAGTATTTTTTCAGCACAGTCCTAAACGCTAATTATTAACTAGTTTTAGGTTCAGAAATTTCAGTTGTCGGTTCTTTGAATGCTGACTGCAAAAACCTGAACAATCAAAATGTATGTAACTACATAACCTTACTTTTGGGTTTTATTCAATCTTAATTAATAAAAAAAAAAGAAAAAGAAAACATAAAATACAGATACATAGAAAGTAAGTACTGCCATTAAGCTTTTTATAGTATATACAATGGTACTGCCTATCCCAATACCAAGTTTCATATCTACATATTTTTTAGACTGTTAAAAAGTAAAGCAAARAGTTAGAGCWTGAAATTTTATTATAAGAATGAACATCATCAATGACTCCATCCACAGTTTGAAAATCTGATAATATTAAGGTTTAGGTTGATCAAATAGTGGACCTGGAATCTGGTGCTAATTCATGTGAATAAAGGAAATAGGAAAAGACAAGTACCTACTGTAATCCAAAGGTCCAACTTGCTTCCATTGATCTTTCCTTGCACTACAGGATATACTTAATGTCAATTACTGGAAATATATTTCTATGAGTTTATTGACGTTTTTTTTCACTTTCGTTATTTATGTACAGTGGCGGTTATTGAAAAGTAATACACGGGATTTTGACACATCCTCYCAAAATTTAAAAAATTGCATAATGTAATTTTTTCTTTGTCGTGATTGTCAGTGTCACTGAAAACGTCACTTTTGACAAATTGTCGAATGTACAGAAATCTATTATTATTACAAGATTAAGAGAGAATGTCCCTCTACGAATCATCGCAGAAGAAATAAATGTGAACAAAATGACTGTCTTTAAAACAAAGAAGAAGATTTTAGTGACATTTTAAACATGACAGTGATTGTCAATTTCAAGGGAACATTTACAACGCCAAAATTTTTTTATTTGTCAAGTGTATTACTTTTCAATGGCCGCGACTGTACGGAAGAACACATACAGAAATAAAAGAAAACAAAAACTGACTAAATGACGTGTTTTTAAAGTCTGATGGTACATACATATTATTTTAAAGAATGAATGCTTTAAGGTCTTATGAAATGAGTTTTGATACTATTTTTTGTAATTTGCTCTCTTTATGCCGTTTAAGAAAATACTTTAATTATTAATAATTAATAATTTTTCTACTGTTGTACACTTCTATTCAAAAAAAAAGCGTACAAGTAGTGAGTCCAATTTTGGCTAGATTGTCATATTGTAAACTTATCTTTTAATCGTTGTTACTTAGAAACCATAACTAAAACCTTACTGATAGCTGGATTTCATCGATGTATTTCACAGAGATTTTAATGTTTAAATTTTTTTCCCTATTACACAACCATTACCAATTACTACAAACACAATTTATAAACTTTTATTCATAAATTTACAGAAAAAGGCAAGTCTCAACAATCTAACAACAACAATTTCAATAAAGATAACAAACCATTCTATTATTTGGTCATCGTGCGGGTTTTTGCGATCATTTCAATTTAGTCTACGGGGCATAAATTTCATCGTTCGCTAAACTTTTGCACAACTTTCCATACTTCGTCTGCAGTAGGAGGCCTGACATTCAGCTTAGACATTTCTTTTGCCATACGACCTCAGACGTTTTCTTTGTGGATTTCTTTAAAACAGTGCATCAGTAGTTTTTTTTTTATACCTAGACCACCCATTTTCCAACTTATTAGTAATGACCACGCTCTTCTTAATGGTATTGTTTGTCGTGGCATAATTCAATTATAAAAAGCAATCGAAAGCAATTTTCACACACTTGACATACAAAATGTCAGTAATACGTTTTCTTGGAAACGATTAATTAATATATCCCATTTACTATAGTCCTCAATACATGTACGCTTTTTTTTTTGAATAGAAATGTACAATAATATACTTTTGTATACAGGGTGCGCCAGAGCTCGCGCCCCAGAGAAAATTTTCAAGTAAGGTAAGATACCAGGAACATGAAAAAAATGTTTAAAAAATTGTCAAAAAATTTTAACATTTAATTTTTGACATTTGACATTTTTTTATATCTATTTAATGATACTGATGATCTTGTATATGTTTTTTTACAATTATATAATAAAGGGACAAAAATTTTGGCAATAAAAGCCACAAATAAGATTGAACGGAGTTACAATTTAGAATACAGCTTCCTTGTTGCCTCTTTTAATAGCCTATAGCAAAAAACTTGGAAAATTATTTTTCCAACAGAAATAAATAGAGTCAAAGTGCAAACTTTAAACCCTCATAACTTCGAAATTTTTATAGATAAAATTTTTTTAACATTTTTTCCATGTTCCTGGTATCTTACCTAATATGACATTTTTCTCTGGGGCGCGAGTTTCTGACGCATCCTGTATACAGTTGGAGACAAAATACTTTGGTCGTCACTTTTCTGACGTTTAATGTAATTCAAGCTTTAACGTTAAAATGAATGTCAATTTCAAATTAATGACATMTATTATATTTTTCTATCAAAAATATGTACAACTTGTCAACTATGATTGACAGTGGCTAAAAATAAGGTTAACAGTCCTAAAGCATGCTTTACAATTTAATGTCACTCAAGTGACATTGACGACGACATCCTTTTATACAAGATGATTCAAAAGTGTCTGACCATCTCTTGGGTGGTGATGAAGGACATCCAACTGCGTTACGAGTGACAAAAAATTGTTTGAGTCTTTTGTCACGAGATATAGCTCTTTAAAGATTAGATTTTGGGTTAGGTTTTTGGCCGTTTAGATTATATATTTTTGAATTACTTAGCGGAAATGGCAGATCTTGCAACATTGAACAAACAACTGTTTCAGCAATTTTTGTCTTATGGTGTCCAAAACATTTAACAAACTAGCAAATTGTACAATAAATTAAATCCGACAACATCGGAAAGAAAACAGCTAAAATGCCTACATGATTCTGTTTTTTCTCAAAAAACGCTTGAAAAAAATTTGAATTCATTTTTATGCTTAGCTGTAAGAATTGTATCATCATTCGAGAGTTGGTCCGACAGTTTTGAATCACTCTGTACAGATTTTATGTTTATGCATTTTTCATTATTTGTAATGATTTTGTTACATATTTTTATTTTATAATGTACAGTTGGAGACAAAATGCTTTGGTCGTCAATGTCAYTTGAGTGACATTAAATTGTAAAGTATGCTTTAGGACTGTTAACCTTATTTTTAGCTATTGTCAATTATATTTAATTCCGTAGGTAACTGTACGTCAAGTATTTGWCAAGCAAAACCGTATCCGGTTGCAGTGTTTCAAATTATTAACAAAAATACTTTCAAATCTGTTGCCAACAGACTCAGTCTTTCTGAATCACTTCGTATTTTTGATAGGAAAATATAATCGCTGTCATTAATTTGAAATTGTATTGTCATTAATTTTAACGTTAAAGCTTGAATTAAATTAAAGTCTCAAAAAAGTGACGACCAAAGTATTTTGTCTCCAACTGTAGTTGGTTCCTCTAAACTGTTAATAAACGTATTATTTCATTTTTTTAAAGGTGTATTATACACGATGTTCCATTTTATTGTTACAAATTTAAATAATTTTTAAACAATTTTAAGACAAAAACATATGTTTTGAAAAATGGAAGAGGTGCGTTTTTTAAAGGGTTTTATATACCTTTACTAATTCCAAGATGAAATATCGACATCTTTAATTAGGGGCGTCCTAAACGGCATACAAATTTAATTTTTAATTTTTATTTTGTACTCAATACGAAACGTCAGATTATTTTTAATAGATTTAAAGCAAGTTTAAGCCTTATTGAGTCTAATTTGAAGAATAAAATGTTGTATTCAACTCGTTTGASTGTAAATCGGACGCTTTATTCAAACTCGTGGATGATAAACCACTCCGTTACACTTGTGGTTTAATAACTCGGTGAAATAATCCGTCCGATTTACACTCAAACTCTTCGAATAAATAACTATTATCTACCTACTCGTGAAAAAAGTCCACTCTTGACTTCGTCACTCGTAAACTTAACCTTTTCACTCGTAGATAAACAGTTTCTTTATCGTCTCGTATAATAAATAACAAAATAACTATTATACTGTTTACAGTCTGTAACATAAATTTTAAAACTAATTTTATCCTAAATCGGTAAGTTGTATCGGGAAAACGCAAAAAACCTTTTTTTTATGAAAAACTATGAAATTTAGAATTTTGTTGCTAAAAGTGGCAAGAATACGCTACAGCCAAAATAGTTACAGTACTTTTTATTTTAAACCCACCCAGTTTAAGTAGCCCCTGATTAAAAATTTCAACATTTTATTTTTGAATTCGTTTAGGTGTATGAAGGTTATTTATCATCTGTACCAAATTKTGTAATTTTATCTAAAATGGTTTCGGAAATATTGGAAAAACCCATTAAAAGACACACCCTTTTGAGGTGCTAGCATTTTGCGATACAAGTTCATAGGAAACTTTTGTCTTAAAGTTGAATGTTCTATTTCCTGTTTAAATTTGTAACAATTAAAACGGAACACCTGAATGTATTGTTATTTTCATCTTTTTTTTTTTTAATTTTATAGTGCCAATTATGTACAAAACGTATTTTGTACTTTAGGTATGTACAATAACGACAGTCAGTTTTAATAATTTACATCTTTGCCCCCAAAATTGTAAGAAAGAAAATTGTGAAACTTGTCCAATAACAGCAAGAACATTCATTGTGAAGTGTATTATTGAACACGTCGGATAAGAAAAGCTCCGTGATATTCCGCAATGGAAGGTCCTTGCTATCTATACAACGTCTCCAGGGAGGGATACCGGTCGTTGTGACTGACAGATCTTGGCGTGCTCAGATGGAAGGCTCTTCTCGTGCATAGGAATGGCCTACTTGTGCCGAGACTCTGTCAGGCAACGGTATTTATTGCACTATTTTCGTGCTCGATCTGCAACTTCTACGCTTTATGTAGATAAGCTGCTTTAATTGGTAGCCTCTCACTCCTTTCATTACCTCAAACACGAATAAAGAAAACTCTTCTTTAACTCTTTCGCCTGAAAAACTCCCAACTTAAATAAAAACWCATTTTTTATTTAAAGTTTCAACTTTAGAGAAGCTGCCATTTCTTATCTTGCAGTAATTAAGAAAAACAACGTAATGGACTCGCCAGATATTTTATTAAGAGCCTGAAAATTTACAATAATTTTTTTCTTCCGTAAATTTTTACTACTTAATGAAATATAAAAAATGCTTTATTTATTTGCTTATAGAGAAAGCAGCGTAACTCTGGAAATCCTTATCACCTAGATAAGTGCAATTTTTCACTCAAAATGCTGAGTTATCTGTTTCACTCTGCCATTTATATTTCCACAGGGAGCCTTTGGCGTCGTTGTTTTTCAGGAAAATACAACCTTTTTTGCATTGTCCTCATCACAATATATTTGTCCTCTCATATAAAACCCAACTCCCTTCTAATTCCTATAAATATTCGTCTATTTATGACACTCACAACTACGCCTACTTTAAGCTTTTTCCGGAAATTGCTTTAACAATTTATAATAGGACTTCTCGTCGATCATCCCCG